AATTTTGTGGGGTAGTGAGATTCATTTTCATTTAAACAATGCTATGAACACTCATAATTACAGTTTAAGATAACCTGCACTTTCTTCAAAAATTTTACCACATCCATCATAAGGAACCAGCTTGCATCATTTGGCATCACTGATCTTAATTTTTTAAAGAAACGTGTATTTGAGCAAGTGGCATGTCTTATTAATGCTACTAGATACAAAGATGTGCTCAAAACTTTGTTCCTCCAACACATTGGAAATTAAAAATTTGCTGAGCATCACACTCTATGTAGAATAAAGCAGTCTCTTATAGTTAATGGCAAGCCTTATGGCAGAAACAGTTTTCTAATTAGAGATGATCATCCAGTTATTTCTAACAACATAATCCCGAAAATGACCAGGTCTGTGTCCTTGTGATTTTTTACTATAAATTACTTAACCCACTGCATGCGTTGGATTTGAGAACCAGGGATGCTCATCTACCTTCTTACTAAATGCAGCAACTTATAATCCATATAAATGACATGGGTTTCCTTCATGGGTGTCGAATGAATGGTCAAGACTTCTGGGCAACTGATGCACCGGGAACAGAGCGGTTTGCAGCAACAGTGTCCTTTAGATGCTTGATTCCTCCTATAATGCATTCGTTTTGATGATAAAAATTCATGGGTGCAGAGAAGAGAAAGAGATAAGTTAGCAGCAGTCACAGAAATAAACTGCAACAAAAATTGCAAGAGACACTACTTCATTGGGGGAGGGGTATATGATATTACATGAGATACACCAGATTTAGATTGTTGTAGTTTTTGAATGTATATTCCATCAAAACCTGAAAAATACGGAATAAAAGATATTTTCCCTTGTTGATGCAAAAATGCTCTGTACCCACAACCTAGAAACTTACTCATGTAAACAGCCTCCAGGCCCATATGAAGATGTTAGTTTCCAACCAGCTGACGTAGAGAGAATGTGTTCCCATGTTTCCAGATCTAGACATAATTTGATGATAGACATTTGATTCAATTCCTATAAACTCATCAAGAAAATGAAACATGAACACAAAATAAAGATTGTTGGTAACCTATGGATGAATAAGAGAGAACTGCCATCTTGTTTTGTGTCTCCAACAGGAAGACAGCCACATAGCAGTTTGTTCAGATTCCAAGATGATACCAATTTCATATATCCCAAGTGGGGTAAAAAAATTATCCTCTTCTCATTTATGCATCATGATGACAAAATTGATGGAAATATGGATGACAAGAAGAAACCTGAATTCATAAATTTTTATAAAACAAAAGGTGATGTTGACTCTGTCGACAGTAGCATTTTATAATGTTGCTTGAAACATGAAACGTTGGTCAATGGTAATTCTTTATACCTTACTAAATATGCAGCAACTTATAATTCATATTTAATTTTCAAATCAAATGCACCTGATAAGGCTGAAGCCCAAAACAGAACACTTTCAAAAAACTCATCTTCAATTTGACAGAACACCATATAAAAAGAGAGCAATGTTAAAAAACATTCCAAGGAACATTCATATTGCTGCACAAAAATTATCAGGAACAGTTGTAGAGGCTGAACATCGAAATGAAACAGGAAAAAGGAGGTCCATGTGCCTACTGTAAGATGAGAAAAACTGAATACAGTAGACTCCCGATTATCCGCGCCTGCCGCACAAAGTTTTTTTTTTTTTTACAAGCGTAAAGCAAAGAAAATAAAAATGTTCACAAAACTGAGTGAAACGTTAAATTTGCTAGCATCGTGCTTATTTATAGCAAAGATATCCCAGACCTTCTTGAAACCTTCCACTCGGCCCCTCTGATAAGTAAGTGATTTCTTACTCACCCTTGCAGTGCCCGCTCCACCGCCCTTTCTAGTCTTAATCTTACTGACACATCCACTTCCTCCCACTCGCCATTGTTAGTTTAAGCCTAATAGTGTTTGTGAACCAGTTCGAGTTAATTTCTTATCTTTTGATTGTGTTCAGTGTTTGCGCTTTTTGGTTTTGTGTTTTTCGTTACCGATTTAAAATGTCAGGAAAACGAAAGAAGGTTATGCTGGGGATTGCACAAAAACTAGAATTTATTTCCAAAGTAGCAAACAGCGCTACAAGGCAGCAGATGGAATTGGATTACGTAATCGTGGAAACAACAGTGCACGGCATTATAAAGCAAAAAGACAAACTGGTGAACTTTGCATCAATGTCAGACAGTGCTACCGCAATGAAAACGCGAAAAACTATGAAAGGTTCTACCTTTGATGAGCTAGACACGGCATTGACAGAGTGGTTAGCTGAAGTTCGAAAAGAGGGTACTCCTGTAAATGTCTTGTCTTATTGTGGCGAAGGCAAAAACCTTTTTTGAGTTGTTAGGCCTGAAAGGAAATTTTGATGCATCTTCTGGCTGGCTGACTCGTTTTAAGCAGTGACATGGAATTCGTGAAATTGGACTTCATGGGGAGAAACTTAGTGGTGACCAACAATCAGCCGACGATTTCCACCATGGATTTGAAGAATTTGTTTTAAAAGAAGAGCCATCTTTTGAACAAATTTACAATGCCGACGAATCGGGACTTTTGTGGAAATGTCTTCCCACTCGCACTTTAACATTTGAAAATGAAAGTAAAGCAGCGGGTCGTAAAGCAGCAAGGAAAGGATCACTATCATGTCTTGCAGTAACGCTACTGGTGAACATAAACTTAGACTTATTGTCATTGGAAAGTCAAAAAAACCGAGATCTTTCGAAGGCACAAGGATAGAAAATTTGCCCGTTGATTACTTTAACAAAAAAAAAAAAAAAAAGATGGATGCACCAAAACATTTTTCAAAAATGGTTTGAAAACATCTTTTTTCTTCAAGTGCGTAAACTTCTTAAATCGAAAAACCTGTTTGAAAAAGCTGTGCTATTGATCGACAATGCACTTTCTCACCCAGCAACAAGCCTGTTAAAGTCTTCTGATGGACAAATTTTTGCAAAGTTTCTCCCCCAAAACGTTACTGCGCTAATCCTACCCATGGAACAAGGAATCATTGCAAGACTGAAGAGAAGATACAGAACCAAGCTGCTAATGACCAAAATTGAAGCAGGTTATGATCTCGGACAGCATCTACGAAACTGCATCTGCATGGGACTCGGTGAAACCGTCAACCCTCATAAAATCATGGAAAAACCTCATGCCTAATGTTGAAGCCAACAAGAACCTAACCCCTTTGAGTTATAAAGAAGAGAATGAAGATGTAGACGTCGTGCTCATAAGTATACAAAGCACTTTTCTATTTACATTAACAAAATGTATTTTAGGTTAGTTTTGAGTAATACACTAAAATATTAAGCATTAGTTAAACATTTTTTGCTGTTTATTTTACGTTTTATTGTATATAAAATGATTTTTCAAAGTTGGAATGACTGTTTTTTTCTTTTGCTATACTCGTTTCTAGCTTTTTTCGGATTATCCGCGATTTTTTTTATCCACAGCAGCCGTGCTACCTAATTCCGCGGATAATCGAGAGTGTACTGTATATGTATAAGCAGTGCAAAAAAAAAAAAAAAAAAAATCTCTGTTTACAGCATGCTGCTTTTTTTGGGGGGGTAGGTAATGAATATAAAAATGAAATATGAATCATTGTTTCGAGTCAGCTTTTCATCAACAATAGAAAATACCTTTATCAAATGCTTACTTTAATTATTTTGTTTTGTGTTACAGTTCACTATAATGTCTAAAAAGATAGGATGTTGTAGGAAAAAGTTCGAAAGAAAATAATTTATTGTATTGATCTGTTTTAGGATTTTAGTGTCATAAATATGTTTAACTAGAAGAAGATAAAATTTTTTTTACTTAGAGATGATGCGAGTACAATACATCTGATGTAAAGTACAGTCAAAAGTCATTAATTTGGACACCCATAATCCGGAATGATCTATAATCCGGACCTCAAAGCTAAAAACTTTCTGCGCGTGAGCATAGGCGTTTACGCGTGCACGTAAGACCTTTACAACTGCGCATATGCATGTGCGCAAGTGCAGAATACGTTTTCGCGTGCGCGTTTAATGTATAACGGACGGTATAAGCTAAAATTATCTAATTATCTATTTCAGTTAAAGTTGATGATAGCGTTGTTCCTTAATCTTCAAACTGGATCTGGCTTATTACTTTTTTCAGACTGTAAGAGCAATTTTATAAAAGTAAACTTGAACTTTCAATTATATCAAATAGAATTTCTGATGCTGGAGCTCCCAAAGGATCTACAAAACGAAAGTATGTTTCGATGTCCATCAAACAAAAAGTGGAATTGCTGCAAAAAATGGATAAAGACATGAAGAAGGTTACAGAGAGGTTACTGAAAATGAAAAAATTTCGATTGACAAGTTAGTCGGTATTCTCGTCACAGCAATTACGGGACTTGAACAGCAGAACTTTGTAACTGAACAAGAAATTATGTCTGTTTACAGAATTAAAGAGAAAGTATTATCACATAAAATGAAGCAACTTAAACAACTTGCATTGAAAGAAATGTTTAATAAAATAAACAAATAAATATTAAGCTTTTTTTTTTTTTTTTTTTTTTTTTGTAAACTTTGATACCCTTTAGATCATAACTGTTCTTTATTTCATAAATTACGGTTTCATACTTTTAATTTTAGAATTTCTGCATGCCATTTTACGAGATTTAAACTGATGATCAATCTGGAAAAATCGATAATCCGGAATCGCCGAAGTCCCGACAAGTCCCGGATTAACGACTTTTGACTGTATAATGGGTTTCACAGACACAACCCGTGCATTTATGGAAGTTTATTTCACACCCGTGCACTCACAGGTTAAACTTCAAAATCAAGAACAATGTTCACAACAGATCTGTCTTAAAAGACAACTAGGATTACTTTCTAAAAATGCCAAACATGAGCTGTCCTTGATACAGACAAAAAACATAAAAGAATTTTTGGAAAACAATTTCTAGCAAAAATATATATCCTTCTAATTATTATATTTTCAAAGAATTTTACCTCATTTTTCTTAAATTCATCTTTAGTGGATTTTGTATTTTCATTTTCTACAACATTTCTAGAAGGAGGTCTCTGAAAGCCTTGGTGCTGTTCAGCAACATGGAAAGGCTGAGTGACAGGGAAATTCATATTCACACGGTGTGGGAGAGATAAATCTGAGTCGGAAAAGACCTAAATAGTTTAAGACAAAAATCAGAAGAAAAATATAAGATCTGTCACAAATAATATATGCAAGAAAAATAAGTATAAATATTTTTTAAAAAACTTTCAGTTGAAACAACTGCAAATTACTGCATCTTTACACTGTTCTGCAATGCTCAAAGTGTACATGAAATGTGCATGCATAATAAAATACAAAAGTGTTTTCATTTAATTACACAGTGATACATAAATTCATGAAAATATATCACTACTTTTGAGTCTCTTACAGATCACTGTATAATGCCTGAATAAAATTCAGCACATGCACAACCAAAAAACTTCACAAAGGTCCCTTGGCACAAAAGTTGACGTCAATATTTGACTTCAATTTTCACTAACCTCCCTTACAGAAAATTATAAAAGAGAAATACATTTTTAAATGTAAGCAAAATTTAATCTTAAGACAAACACTAATTTTAGAAAAATTCTATACAAGGTAAGGACAATATATTAAACACAAAGCAATCTGGTTGATCAGGCTGCAGCCATAACAAAATAAGAAATTCATTCCATGTGCTCTTATGGTGCAACTGCAGAAGACCATAAACCCACAATGTTTGGGACCAGAGGTCGTGTGGATTTTAGGATTTTGTGAATTCCAAAACAGAAAAGATAAATGATAACTTTTAGACTAAAAGTGCAAAATAAATAAGGATATTAAGGGCATATACAAACATTAAGGGTATCTAATGAAAATAACAGACATAAATAACGCATTTATTTTTACATGTTTAAACATTTTTCTGACGGAAGTTTGTTTTGAAACGCAAAGGTGATCCAAAGTTTTTTTTATATATATGTTTTTTTATATACATACAGAGTTATAATCTCTAGCTCTGCGACACAGCTCTGGTGTTCTAAAATATTTATGTATTTTTCCAGCCATGTTCCAAATTTTCATAATAATAATAATAAAAGATAATAATAAAAGTTCATAATAATAAAAGATAATTTATCACCCCTGCCCCTATCTGCGTCAGTGTCAGAATCATTTTCTTGCTGTATAAAGTTCAAAACAGAGTCAATAATTTCATTATTAGTCATCTGATATGCAAGTGTTGACACATCTGAACACATAATCCATTCTGCAATATCTTCTTGGAAAGCCTCCTCATCTGTCCTTTCTTTTGAATACAGAAGCAACTCTCTTTCTTTAAAATTCACTGCACTGACCCTAAAACCTGTTTTAATACACAAAGATGACCATATATTATGCCAGCCCTTAACTAATGCTGTTTGGTAAAAAAAAATTCCATGACTTTGCTAACAAACAGATGCAGTCTTTGATGATGAACTTCTCTTTATAACATAAAGTGAAACAGAATGGTCTCTTGAAGGAATTCTTTTCAGAAACTCCCGATTTGTAGTGGCATTTAGTACTCTGCATTATGCCCTGGTTCATTGGTTGGATCAATGACGTAGTATTTGAGGGAAAAAAAAAAACGGACACAACATTATGGCATATTAAAACATTTGCATCTGGATGTGCAGAGCAGTTGTCTAACAGTAAAATCTTACAATCTGATGGCAACCCCACACTTTACAATGCCCTTTAGCCTCCTTAACAAAATGTTCCATGAATCATTCAATCATAAGTTCTTTCGTGAACCAGGAATTTTTATTATTCCTGTAAATCACAGGTAAGGATGTTACTCCTTTCAGGGCTCTGGGATTGGTGCTCTTACCCACTACCACTAGTTTACATTTCTAAGTTCCAGATGCAATGCTGCATACTAAAATAACAACTCTGTCTTTAGCTTCTTTTCCCCCCTGATAGTGCACTTCCTTCACTTGTCACAAATGTATTTCTTGGCAACCATCGGCCAAAAAGTCCAGTCTCATCCATATAAAAATCTGTTCTGGGCTAAGATTTTCTTCTCCCACTAGCACAGAAAATTCATCAATAAATTCCTCTGCAGCATCTTTAACTGCTGAAAGTTTTCTCCAGCCTTTCAAATAACATATACTGTGTCTATGCTCAAATCTGTTCAGCCAAATGCTGCTGAAATCGCACACCTCCTGTATTTTCATATGTGCAAATATGTTCTCCCCTTTTCTCTTAGGAGCCATCCTGAAATCGGTACCCCCCTCCCTCCACAGCCGGAACTGCTCATACAAGTCATTATCACAGTTTGCCGATTTTGCCTTGCAAAAAGATTTCCGGTAGTCATTGTTGCTGTAGAAATTCAACAGCTTTTCTTTATTTTTCATTATGATACACAGTCTGTATCACAATTTCATACAATTCTGCTATAAATCAAAGAATAGCACCTCCCTCCATTTTTTGCAAAATTTCACTTTTTGCAATACTGTCAATGCAATGTGTTTACATTTTCAACGTTGCAAGCAGTAAAATCATAAATGTGTTTTTATCTGCCACTGTATTACGAATTGCTGATATTAAAAATATTTTTCATTTTATCTACATAAAATCCAATAAAACTACAAAACAGCAACACTAAACGATCTCTTGAAATAACAAAGCTCAGGAATAACAACCACATGAGCCATGAACTTAAAAGAGAAGTTGAGTGAAGTCACCTGCTTCTTTACCTCGATGCAGACTGGAAGGAAAAAAACTTTTACCATGATGTCAATGATTTAGTAAGTATTTCCGTTATGAGAGCATTATTTGTTAACCATTCCACAGTGTGGTTTCCTAAACCTATAAACTGAATCAGATTTCAGATCAACTGATTTTTGGCATTTGACTGTATTAGCATATCAATCTGACATATCCCATTTTCTGTGCTGAATTCTGGGCAAAGGCACAATAAACTTTATCAGATTACCAGTTTCCAAACAACTTACATCCCTTAAGTTAATATCTGTTTATATACTTCACTACAGAAGCAGTTTAATTAAATATTCCAGCACAGGGGCAAAAGCCATCAGCCCAGAACTCTACAGTGTCTGCTTGTATGTGCAATACTTTAATGTAAGTTGTCAAAAGTGAGCATTTGTTTTTTTCAGCTTTTAGAGTGTGATTCCAGTTACCTTTTATAAATAGTTATTTTTCAGTTTTGTATTTTTAATAAATTATTTCTTTGTTTTTCTTGCAAAAAAATTCTATATTACTGCTTTGCAAAATTATCGCCAACATAAGAAAAGTCAAAAAAGTGTCACGAGAAGGAATAGCTCTGAAGTTATGCAAATTCTCACAGATTCTCTGTTGTTGTCATGACTAATCTCACCTGTAGATCACAGCAAGCCCACAAAATTCATCAAGGCAAGGAAGCAAGATTGGTCTTTGGAAAATGCTATATAAGAGAACAATTAGGTGCTGACAAAAGAGAGCTTTCCTTAATAATCACTCAGTTTCCTTCCCAACCAAAACTGCCAGACAGCAGCTGCTGAATTTTTAAGCATATCAAGTTATCTTGTGAAAAAGTGAATTTTCTTTTTGTTATTTATAGTAATATCTGCTCAATATATAACACAGTAGACTGATTTATAAGACGTCTTTTTCAGATATTTCAAAGAAAGCAGACCAGGATATCATGAATTATTTGCATAACAAGAGTTTAAAAGTAAAATGGAATAATGCATTGTCAAATAGAATTACAGTTAAGTTACACTCCATATAGTGAGGCTTCTAGTCTCCTCTATTTATGATACACAGTACACGACATTTTGAAGCATTTGACATGGATATTAATTTCATGATATATGCATATGACATAACTGCCGACACAGATGGTGGGAAGAATTTTATGACATATCCAGAAAACAACTTATGACTAATTGGTGCAATTACTGGAAACTTGTCAATTTTTTCCAAGAAATGCATCATGATTAGAGTTTTTCGAAAAAGAAAGAGACTTAATCCGAAGGAAGATATTTCTGTGAAAGGAAAGGTCTTAGGGATGCACTTTTCTAGTAATTTGCAGAATCAGATTCAATATATTAAGTAGAAAGTACTGAAATGGTCAAATATTTTTTTTAAATAATGACTCCCTATAACTGGGAAGCTCGAGTCAATGATTTATTGTGCATTACTAATATGCATATGTGTAGTCCTTTTTGACAATCTTTCCTCTATTAGTTCATGCCAGTATTTCAGAATTATATAAACTACAAGTTTTACATAATATGGATGTTTTATATAATTGGTCACAACATTTCTAAAATACACTCCAGCCCTGGATCTAAGAAAAGGACCATTTCCTCAAGTTCAAGATTGAAAAGTTTGAGCAAAACATTCTTGATTAGGCATTTTTGTTGAGATTTTTTGCCACATGTGATATAACTTCTGATCACATGAAAAGGTATAATTGATGCATGCTTGAAAATTGAAAGTATCGAGAACCCACAAGTTATTACACATGATCTGTCTTTTCAAGATTCACACTTTTGAACTCTATTCTCCTGTTTTACTGGATTTATTTTGTAAAACTTAAACGAGAAAAACTGAAATTGGAATTTTGTAATACATTTCTATGCATTTATTGATACAACTATATTTAATAACTTGAGATCTTATCTAATTTCTATACAAAATTTTCTCACAGATATCTTATATGAACAGCTTTTTAACCGACACTGTCATGTACCATAATTCTCCAAAATAATTTGCCAAGACCTAAAAATTAAGCTATAAAAGAAGGAAGTGAATAGTAGACAATTAATGGTACATATGTATTAATGCAACCACCTTGGAGCAGTTTTTTAACAGATGAAAAGGTAAAAGTTATTTATTCGGTGGAAGTTGGTGAACTCTGCAAATTTTTCAAAAAGTATTTCCAAATTAGCAATATTTATCGTAAGTTGGCAAATGTTATTTATCAACATATGAAAAGAAAAATCACTTAAAATTTTTTAAATAAATTTTAATTATTAAATAAAGATTATTATGATACAAATAAAAAAATATAACATTTTTTTGCAAAATCCTACTCTAATTTCTCACCGTTGTTCTTCCTATGTACACAGCAATCTGTTTTTGCTTTAAAAAATCCAGAAATTTCAGAAACATGGCACTGTGAAACAGCTATCTACCAAATGTATCTCATCATCATTCACTTCAGAAATTTTGCGACACAATACTGTATTCCACCCGAACTTTTTTCAGAATTTCTTTCTTGCTGGTGAATTCGACAGGCAATATTTTAAAACTAAAGGCAAAAATGTCATGATTTGTGGATAAAAATCACTGTGACTTAGAATACAACAAAAAGAACGCATATGAAAATGGTGATATTGTTTAACTACATGAGCATAGCAGCCTGAAGACTGTTTATGTGCATGATTGCCAGAATTTGGCACATTCTGAAAATTTAAGGTGGTTGTGACATAAGTATCTAATTAACATGGTAGAGTGCAACAAGCAATTAAATTGCCTTCTTTCTGACCATTACCTCAGTACACCTGTTTCTTTACCTAGCAGATGACTGTTTCATTAAATGAAGGAATAATTGGAGATTTTTTTTATTTTCTTTGATACCCAACTTAAAACAAAAATGGACAAAAACAAAATCAGATGGAAATTAGAAGATCAGATGGCATTAACATATCTTTAACATTTAACTGATCTGATATGCTGTTTTAGGGAAAATGGATTTTTTTTTTTTTTTTTCATATGTATATGTTTCTTTTAGTGGCAATTTCGGATTCAACGTCATCTTATATTATGCATTATTGTAGGATTTAAAAAAGATGATTAAGTTTTCATTAACTGAAACTAGATTAAATTAGTCTTGCTTTCTTCCAATAGTGCAATTTTTCAGAAAAATTGGCAACATTTTTAACTTGAAATAAGGTGTTATATTTTTTGCGGCACAGTGCTATGCCCAAGCAAATGAAATGTGTAATAATCTTGAATAATACTTCCCTTTATTAAATAATCATAAAATTCTCCACCTGGCGCTAATTAATACTGGAATAAAATTAACATAGCAAAATTTTTGGTACTATTTGTCTTTTTTATACATCATTTTATACTTGTGATTTTATTTCTGAAACTTTAAACTAGGAATTCTATCATAACTATTTAGCTTGAAACTGTTTCGTATGTTAAAATGGAACTGGAATATAAATATCAGATATATCCTCTTTTGCATCTTCTTCCAGGTTTTATAAAAAACACTTTAGTGCATCTTTATGTCCATATTTTCTGAGTAAAACACCACCAACCTTCATAACCATTCGACTTAATCTCTTTTCAGCCAAGAAGTTTTATTGACTAACAGTAAGATATAAAATATTTTACATGAAAAATAACTAACAGTATAATGAAGCTACTTTATCAGCTACCAAACTTTCCCGCATTTTAAAATATTTCAGGATTAAAGCTGAATAATACTCTTTTATTCATATGCAGCATAGTACTTTTTATAAATAGAACTAAGACAGATGATTAATTTTTTTAAAAAAATTAAAAGCTTTTTACCCTCATATTTAATTACTTGGGTACTTTACGTATACCGCATATCCCTGTTAACCCATTAGCTGCTGGTGTTGCGTTGACGGTCAAAATAAATGCGTATATAACTACTTAAGATATTTTGTACCAGCAGATGATTTTGTGTAGGGAATATTATGAAGCTTATTTCTGTAAAAAAATATTCGCCTTCAACAATCATTTTGTTCAGAATAATTAATCTCATACTTTAAGCAAAATTTCGACCAGGTATTTTTTCCGAAAATATTTAATGAAAGAATCACCGTCTTTATGAGTGATCTATTTTTAGTCAAGGTCACCATTTATCAGAACATTACATCAATCAGATGTTTATATTAGTGTTGGGAAGGAAGGGAAAACAGGTGTTGCGCTGACACAACGTCAGAAGGAAACAGGTAAGCTCCTTTTTTACTTATTCCTTTCGATGTTCTGGTTCATGTTCTGGCTGCTTTAAAAATGCCTATCACGAGGTACCTTACATTAGAAGAAGCCCTTCAAAGATTTCTTTTATGAAGAAACTGATGATGATAATGTTAACAATAACCAGAATGAAACTGATATTTTTGTTATTCCCCCAGAAATGGCAGAAGCTACTGATGAAGAAGAAGGAAATGACAATGTTTTAAATAATAATAATGATATTTTACCAAATGATATTGCTGGGGAAGTTGAAATTCAAGGAAGAAGCAAGTTTCAGCCTTTTAAAAGCAGTGGCAGTCATACGAAAAATTTTAAAAAGCAGAAAACTTGAAATTGATAAAAAAGGAACCGTCAGTTATGTCTCAGGAAGAAAATAAAGGAAGAGGTAGAAGAGAAACTATAAAAGACAAAATGCAAGGTAAAACTAGTGGAGAGATTTTTGATTTTCTTTCTGGTTTAGACATTTACTCTCTTCTCGTTGAGCAGACAAATATATACGCTTAGCAAAAAAAAATCTCCTACTACAATTTATTGCATCTGAAGCCTATATGGGAAGATTTATTGGAATATTATTGCTTATGGGATATCATTCTTTACCTCAAGAAGAAATGTATTGGTTACTTGATAAGGACATTTCTGTTCCTATTGTACGAGAATCGATATCACGTTTACAGTACAGGAATATGAAGCAGAATTTGCATTTAGCTGACAATAGTTTAATTGATAATACTGATAAATTATAAAAGGTGAGACTGTACCTAAACTTACTAAATATCATGACTTTCTACTACTGGAAATAAAAAGTGGGTTTTAGATTTCAGATGCGAGATTGCATTATTCCTTTTGCAAACTTCTATTGAGAGTGTAGAATTAGCCAGAAATAGATCAGCAACAGGAAGACCTAGTAAATTCAGCATTCAAAAACCATTGCATGGAGATGGTATACATTTTATTGTAAAGTACAATGATAACACAAGACTTCATTTTAAAGACTGCCACAGCCAGACTGTATATAGATGCAAAGTATGTAATGTAGCTTTACATCATGATTGTACTGAAGCTTTTCATGCTTGAATTTTTCAATTGAAATAATCTGTATTTGTAAAAGAAATATAATGTATATTTTAATATTAAATATATTACAAGTAAAGTGATAATAGATTTATAAAATGTTATACAGCTAAAAAGTAATCCAGTGCTTCACTCAAAGGAAACATCGCGCGAGTACAATCCTATTCACTAAACATCCGTAGTCTTATTCCGCTGACGTTGTGCGAACGCAACACTCGCTTTTTCCACAGGTAAGAGCATTTTTTTTTTTTTTATTTTCAATGTAAATTTGTCATAAATGCTTAATTTAATAATTGCTATTATTTTCATGAGAAAAGAATCATTCCTTGTAGTTTTGGTGGTTAATGGGTTAAGGGAATGATAAGTCAACAGATTACTCAAACAGTGAGACTGATCATATCAAGAAAGATTTTCATTGAAAAACAGCATCATATTTACATTACATATGCAAAAAACCTTGGAAAGCCCAAGAAGATTCAATAATTTTAAGCTGATCTCAGCATACACTATCTTAATTCGTACCTTTAGCCAAAAACCATAAGCTCAGCCGTTTAGGTGAAAACAATGGCTTTAGCCAATCAGCTATAAATCTTTCCAATATGAACATAGCCAGATATATATTCATAAAGTGGGTAATTTAGACAAAAAGAACTTGTACTTTCATATATTTATGCCATATTTCATATATTTTATGTATTTCATTATTCATATATTTATGCCATTCCACTTTCACTGCACTCCTACACAAATAAGGATGTATAATCACTTTCTATTTCAATTTCTATGCTGAGTAATGCAAAGAACTTTTTTTATGCATACTATTATAAAAATGAACTTACAATTAGATTAACTTAATTCTCTAACATACCTCATCTGATTCAAAAGCTCTTCGTTTAGATTTTTCATCATTTACCATTTGATCTTTAAGCCATGAAGCAGTATTGCACTTTGCCCTTGGGCAATTAAAAAAAGTACTAGGATTAAAGGAAAAATTTTCTGCTACATTGGATGATGAAGATGATACTTCTGGGGGAAAGCTTCGTAATTTTTCTTTATTTCTCTGCTTCTTAGATGGTTTAGATCTTGTACTTAATTCCTAAAAAAAAATTCAGAAAAATTTAAGCACCATGAAATATAATTAATTGGGAAAAAATATTACAAAGTCAGCACTGTTATGAATAAATGGAAAATTTATACATATTCTTAAGCACTTTACATAAAAAATAAAACAAACCTCAAAGAATAAGAATTGGTTTAACATAGGTAAATAAGCTATACATATAGTTTTGAAGGTCAAATGCCTTCTGAAGAATATGAAAATAAGATAAATGAAATATAAGCCTATACAAGAATTTAGAAGAAAATTCAGAGTTTTCTGCCCAAAATATATGAAACAAAACTCCAAATGTCATCTACTGACTGAAAAATTAATGTAACTAAAAATCTCTCTTTGAAAGTTAACAGTAAACAGGGGTTAAACTTAGATCAGAACAAAAAGATATTCTTAGATGCATAAAGCTTCCAGGAAATTCAATTTATAGACATTTTTTGAATACTTTTGACTGAAAAAAAATCAGCAGCCCACCACTGCTAGTCAGAAAGGAAACCTATTGCTGCTAGTTAAAAAAAATTACCTTCTACGTTTCTTCAATTGAATTTATTCAAAAAATGTCTTCAGTTGATGAAATAGATTTCTTAGATGTTTTTCACACCTAAAAAGTCCCATGTTTCCCAATTAATGATCCAAATTCTAACTCTTATTCACCTTCAACCTTTAGGTGATTCTTAATTTTCTCTTATCTATCAACAGATGGGAAGTTAAGTTGCATTGCAGTAGGTTCTTGAAAACATTATTATAGACCTTAACCTTTGCTTATCAAACAAAAATTGCTTCTGATGGCTCAGAATAGGATTCATGTTGGTCCATGTACTTCTCTGAATGATGAAAGAGAGATCCTCCTACACACAAAAAGTAAGGTGACATGCTTGTTTCATCAAGAATCCAGATTCCAGAGATAACAGAGCTCCATATTATTTTTATAAAATTTATGCTCAATTTGCAATAAGGCAAGGCCACATTTTATCATGTGAACTCATTTTCCTGTCACAAGAAAAAAGTGCTTTCGATTACTTGAATTCAGTTGCTCACAATTTGAACGCATTAAACCACAGTTGTAAAATAAACAGTTCATCTATATGAAAAGATATTCTCCAAGAATTACCACATGCAAAATAAATTAGAGCAGAAAAATATATCCTTACATACCAGAGAGAACATCTTCCTTCAAGCCCAAAACTGAATTAAAAAAAGGGGGAGGTTCAGTTACTGAAGAATCATAAATTTTTCACCTTTTAAAAGCTCTTCTTAAAGGTTATTTTTATCTAACTTCTCCAAAGAAAAATTTCAATAGCAAGGAGATCAACTAACAGAACTGCAGCTAAACAGACAAAATTTGTAAACTAAATGAACGTAAATGATGTCAAGTTTTAGACAAAGATAGTAAGATGACATATTGCTAAATCTGATGCAATCCCTTCAGCTGTTTGCATATGAGCTAGTGGTACATAACTCGTAAAATAGTGTGACATCATCACAGATGGCATTACGAAATTTATTTCCTATCATTTAGCAGAAAACCATTGCCATGGTAAAAATCTGTAGGCAATATTAGCAATGAGGTTGCAAGCCTTTAAGAATGTCAAAAGAAAATAATAATAATAATTACTTTATTAGAAAGCAAAGTATATTTGCTCAGAAAAAGTTAGTTTAACAAATAATAGTAAAACAGAATTAAAATCGACAGTAAAATAGAATTTAAATTTATAGATAAATGGGCCTAAATTGTATGTATATTTCATCAAAAGCCAATTTGGAAACTTTTTCTGCCTTTAAATGACAAACAATAATACGATTAGGAAGAAAGTATTAAAAGATATTTTTTTCCCCCAGTGAAATACACCCAATTATGGGTTCTTGCTCTAAAAGAAGTCACAAGAGTATACTCAGAGTTCAACAAAGTCAACATAATACAATAAAAAAAAAAATCTTTTATTTGTTGTGATCTTGAAAATATGTCATGAATAGATATGTTTTTGCATCCTACAGTTTTAGTTATTGTATCTACATTTTGAGAAATGAATTATCCATTTCAGTATGCTAAGTGTATTATTCAAAATATGAGAAATTCCTTCCTGTTAGCCAAATACCTAAAACATCACATGCATTTGCAATGGCAATACTCGTACTCAGTATTTTAGGTAAAATGATCAACTATGAGTATTCTGATAGCTGGCTGTTAGCCAACGAGTATTCTCATAGATGACAGCAAACATGTTAAGGAATGCTTTTGGCTACACTCAAGTATATTAGTTAGTTATTCACGATCATATTACAGATATCCCTTCTATAACTTGGTAAATTGGTTCCTAAAAAATGCTGTGTTATGTAAAACCATGTTATAGTAGAGTAGCAACCAATATAAAATAGAAAGATGCATTCCAAAAACTTTTAAAGGTAAAATATTTCTTTTAATTCAAGGATTTTTATTAAAATACAAATATATGTGAAACAAAAAAAAAAAAAAAAAAACAGAAGTAAACCATAAATTTCTGTTCTCATTTAATTCAAGCTAATTTTACTAAATTCCTTTTTCTTCATTACTGTTCAGCACAATAAAGATAGAGCACTTTTTAGGTCAAATAATATTACTTTCTGAACCCATTTCTTCATTACGATTTTTTGTAATATCTACCCTCTTTAAAAATCTGTTATTCTGCTGGCTAACCCTTTCAAGTTCTTAGTAAATCCTGTTATATGGAGATCCTCATTCTTCAATTATTCTTTGAATTTTTTCTGATATGTTTTGGCAGCTTCATGATCAGGTGATGCAGATTCTACTTGAATTCTTATACCATGAATTGCAGAATGTTTTTTTAATTTCTCAAACCAACCTTTAATTCCCATAAAGTCTTGAGTTTAAAGGCCACAATTTTTCATATGTTTGTAAATTTCAACAGATTTTCCTCTAATGATTTTACTGCCCTATGGAATTTGTAGGTATAAATAAATAGGTTGTTATTAAATCCTACACACAATGACATAGTACGTAAATTCAAATGTTAAGAGTAAAAATCCTGTTACTGAAGTATGTACACTGCACAAAAAAAGGCGACAGTTTAATACCTCCCGTTCTACCTGGCCAATTCACGAAATTCACTCTTGAAAGAGCAACTTAGGATATGTATTAAATTTATATGTAGCATTGTTCTAATATAGGTATTTTGACACAAAATTGGACTTTTTCTGAAATAGCATGTCAATTATTTTCCATGTTTCGATTCTATGACTCAAATTATGCCAAACAGATAAGTTCTGTAAAAATCACACGTGTAGTTTTTAAAAAAAATTACCTCGCAAAATTTTAGCTCCTCAATGTTAATTGAATTTGATAGATATTTATTTATATGTCCTTTTTTATTAAACTTACTTGTTTCTTCCTTTCATATTTCGAAATTTAGGTTCATTTCAAATAAAATTTGTCTATTTTTACCATTCATTTTTAAAATTTGTACTTTTAAATAATTTTTATAAATTTTTTGAAAAAAGTTTTGATTTAAAAGCAATAAAAGTTTTGCCATCATCTTAAATTTTTTATTCAAAATTTCCTACCATATACGTGAACTTACATTCTGGTGCGTTTTGAAACTTGGCGTATTTATTATAAGCGATAATAACACAAATGTGGTTTACGAACTTTGTTAAAATTATTTGAAAGTATGAACGATGACTTTTTTTCCACTTGTGGACAATGAAGAAAAAGGAGAGGAAAATAGGTTCTATAAATTAAGAAGTTCGGAAAGTGAATTATTCTTGGTGCAAACTAAACAAAAGTTGTGTAGATAATTTTTTAATTCTCCATAAATTTCTCACCAAAAATTACCAAATTTAATAACTAGGCATAGTTTGAGTTGTAGGATTGAAATATGGAAAAAAATTGGTATGTTATTTCAGGAAAAAAAAAAAAAGATTTTGTGTCAAAATAACCTATGTTAGAACACAGGGTTAGAGTAGATTGAAGGGTGTCCTTTGTATTATTGTGAAGTTGTTGCTTCATTTATCGCCAAGTTATTGTTTCATTTATGGTAATCTGAGTTGTTGAATGTTATGGAAACCCTATTATGACCTAATTGATTGCGTGTTGCTCTAAATTTTGAATGACAGGAAAAAGATTTGTAAGGGCTTATGGTGTATGTTGGTTAGGAAGCACATTGCTTTTTTTGTGGTTTAGATGGTATAATGGCTAAATGTTGTAAGATTAATTTGAATTTCTCTACGATTTGGAACAAAAGGGGAAAAGTACATTAACTGACTGGTGTGTAAATGAAGGTTTACTTAGTAGCCATGATAAGTGTCCTGTTTGTAGGAAGGAAATGCGTAATGCATATGGTTGAACGTCGGAGGATATTTTTTACTCTTATTTTTGTGAATTTATGCGCCGATGCCGATATATGGATTTTAGTTCAGATAATTTTAGGAAGTTGGATGCTATTAAGGAATTTTGTGTGCCCCATTTTGAAAGACTCGGAAATTTCTAAATAAAGTAAGTGATATTTGCTTTGTGTAGTGCTTAGATGCATAAGATGAATTTCCTTTTTTTATGTTATTATTTGATTTAAAATGTAATTTATTGAGATTACGTATTTTTTGTCTGGCTCTACTGTAGAACTGGGTAACTCCATTGACTTGAGTGAAAATATATCGATGTGTACATGGACAAAGTCAAGGGAGTGCGCAACGCCAAGTTTATGCGATTCTCTGATTTTTTTTAAATGAAAGTAGGTTGACGTAATGGATACCAAGTTTGTGCAATTCTTTGAGCTGTTAATTTTTCTTCGTGTAGCGGCGAAAAATTGCCACTACACAAAGCCAAAATAACAAGTCAAAGAACTGCACAAGCTCGGTATCCATGTACAGCTATATACGAGGGCTATCCAGAAAGTAGATTACGTTTTGGAATAAAAAAATAAACAAAGTATAGGAAACAAATTTTATTATATACAGATGAAAGCCACACTCAAATACTACTTTTCTACATAGTCACCATACAAATTAAGGCATTTATCGTAGCGATGTACGAGCTTGGAAATTCCTTCGTCGAAAAATTCGGCTGCCTGCGCCTTCAACCACTTCGTTACCTCTTCTTGCCTTCCATCTTGCACAAAACTTGTGGTAACCAAGCTTTTCGCTGATGATTTCGTGCAACAAACTTCGCGAAATTTGTGGAAAACTCAAAGAAAGTTCCGTTATTGTGAAATTTCGATTTTCACGGACTTTAGCATCGACTTTTCGAGAAGTTCGGCGGTCACTATGCTGGGTCTCCCACTTCGATCTTCGTCGTGAACATTGGTTCGGCCATTTTGAAATCTTATGACCCACTGACGCACTCCACCTTCAGTGATAATGTTGTCCCCATACACTTCACGAAAGCTGCCGATAGATTTTCTATCGGTTTACAGTTTTTTGCAGTCAGAAACCTTATTACTGAGCGCACCTCGCAGCTCGCGGGATTTTCAATTAACGCAGACATTTCAAACCGTCACAGTATCTGAACGGAGCACAGCACGAACCTCTCACTAGCACGGCTAGATGCAGACTGAGCTGCGCAACGCTCTGACCCCAAGATGGTCGCGCTAGCCCCGCCCCTAGCGGACACAGACGGAAACGTAATCTACTTCCTGGATGGCCCTCGTATAAAGCCATATATAAATCTAATATATATCCTAAGTGACTATTTGGAGACATGGAAAACGCAAGTTGAATTTTGTCAATTCGGCCCAATAGAACGGGAGATATAGAACTGACCTTTTTTTTCCGCTGCATACATACAATAAAGTGTAAAAAGAGCCATTTATGAATATTTATTAATGTGCTTGAATGACAGTATACTGCCATGCTATATGAGACTTTCAGCAATTTTCTTATCTTGTACAAGCAAAGCAGTGATATAGGATTCATGCTATAAAGAAATATCTGTACATGGATTTCAAAAATTAAAAAAGACCATTTCTAAAATACAGTGGACGTACACTTAAGATTTAAAAATAAATTCTAATTAACTGTACTACACAATGACATGGTTGTTTTCACATAATTATTTTATGTAGAATAAACTTTTTATAATTTTTTACTTATGTACACTTACCAGATTATTTGGCAGCAACTTCCACTGTGTCTCATTAGATTCATTCCTAGAACTAGAACTACTGGTACTAATTTTCTGCCCTTTGGAAGGGCTGTGCTGCTCTCCAGAAGCCATAACTAAAATTTTAAAAAGATTTAAAAACATTTACTATTGACTCACTTCTAATATCTAATTTATGCATTAATGATTACCTAGTGAAAATATATATTTAGAAGGACAATCATGGATGCTGAATACTTTATGCATGGTTTGATCAAGACAGACTGGAGCCCAAGGCACAGCATTCTTTCAGGAGATAGCTTTATGAGGCATTATAGGATAATTTGAGGAAACTTTAAAAAGTGAGGCCTTAATCTTCTGGCCTTAGGCAATAATCAAGTGCTGGTTTTATGGACACAATTTGATTATTTAAATAAAGCTCAATGATGATGTCTTATTAACTGTGAAAAACATACTTCACGTTCAAAGTAAAAGAACTGGATTATCTAAATTACAGAAAAGCACACAAGGACCTAAGGAAAAAAATGCCTTAGTTGATGATCTTTTAAAGAAAGTGATACACATTCATGTTACACATGGTAAAAATCAAGAAAACTCCCATGCAGACAGCCTATTTGCAGGGATTTGAACCCAGATCAAGTTACTAGTATTCAGAAATTTTAATGCTCACCCACAGGTGGATTATTCACTCATATTACCGCAATTATCTAAAATATAATGGCTAAACTAACATCTATACAAGAAATAAATACTATATATACACACACACACACATATATATGTATATATATAACTAAAAAAGCCATTATAAATGAAACAGAACCAACTCATTAAATAAGTTTCTTTAGCTGCCATAATTAATGCAAATAAATAAAGAACTTTATTAAAAAATGTAAGAAATTTAAACCAAATTTACTAGCTCCTTGAGTGCAAGTAAGCAGGTTGATAATGGAAAACACAACAAAACCTAATTTAAGTTAATCACGGAGGACTAAAAAAAATGGACTTTTATCTCCTTTTGTTGTGCTCCTTAGGAAGTAGCTATGTTTTTGATAAATCATTGCTATATACATGTAATTATTTCAAAATCTGATCATTAAAGTAAATTAATCCAGGATTGGTATCAGAAATGTGTTTATTAATATTGTTATCATTATTGCTTTTGCCAGTAAAACAATTTTTTTTTTTTACAAACTTAAAAACTGCTCAATGTGTCCATCTTTGCTAGTATGGCAGACATCTTTACATTATTGCAAGAATTTACTTGAACAAAAGCATGCTGATGTTATACTCTAATGCAAAAAATACCCCTTTTAATAATACATTTGTCAGCTCATTATTGCAGAGATCATTACTAAAGCTATCTGCATGGGTATCGCAGTCAAAATTTGCCAGAGACAGAAAGCATTTGTTAATGCATCTCAATCAAAATTTGTAAATAAGGTTTATTGAACTATACAGGACATGGAGAAAACATACTAATGTGGTGGCCATCCCAATCATCAGATTTAATTCCATGTGACTTTTTTTGCAAGGTTTTGCAAAGAATACTGACTGTGTGCTTCCAATCTCTGTTTATCATGAGGACTTTTAGAACTTTATCAAGCTGACCCTTGTTCTGTTGGAATGGAATGTGAAAATGGTCCATTACAAAAACTTAAAACATATCAGAAGATGTGGACACCGAGTATTTGTAAACCATGTTTAAAACATCTTTTAATTCTGAGTTTGATATAATCATTTAAGAAAGGAAAGAAATCAACTATCTGCCTGATTCATAACTAGTATAATAATTTGAATACATTCTTATTAAATATATCAGAATTAAAATGAATAAGTTTTTTAGCATTTTCAAAAGTTATGGATCACCTACGATTCGAAAACAAGTTTTTATATTGTATGAAACTTGACATTTACAAATTTTATTGGAGCTTACTTGAAGAAAATATTGCAGTTACTTACAGTTCATTATTTCCCAATTTTAAAGGTATCTTTTTTTTTTTTTCTAAAATATTGGACACTTTTGTGTGCCAAGACGCCATGATGTCCCCCTCCCCAAGATGTTGTTTAACATATTAAGTGCCATGTCAGTCACCAGCAAATGACAATAGACTTTTTTTCAAACCATATTAGTCACCAAAAACCAATTTAGTCACTAGTGACAGTATATCTTTTATTCAGGCCATGTCAGTTACTGTTTGCTGATGAAATCTCTGATTGTAATGAAAGTTTTCTGCCAAAAAAAACATTCTTAATAAAGTTACAAAAAGCATGAAAGCAGTACGTTTAGTGCAGGTAATAACCACCACTTAAATCTATGATTTTCTGCCAACATTACTGTAAATTTTCAAAGCCTCTGGCCCAAAAATTTGGTGGCCACGAGTTAAAAAACTTATCAACCTCATTTTGGATGTCCTGTGCAGAACAGAGGATAGCACTAGCAAGACAGTGTGAAAAAAATGAAGGTGTGCAAAAAATTTAGAAGTCCAAAGAAGCGATGTCAGAGCTATATGATAAGTGTGGCAAAAGACCCCATTCGAGTCTATATACAGTCCAGCCGGTGAATGCAAACCCCATATGGTCTTGCATTATCTTGATAGAATATTTCCTTTTTGTACCGGAACTCAGTTTGATATTTTTCCTTGATAGTAGTACACTGACTAGCATTTCGCCACACACATTACTGTCGAGGGTTTTACCTTTCTCCAGATACTCTTTGTAGATACTATCACCACAATTCCACCAGATACAAAGCATGATCCTTTCTGTTAGTCAAATTGTGCTCAGTGCCACTGCCGACGAGCTCACCGGGCGCAAAGCAACCCCCTTTTTAGCCTGTGTTGTTGAAGTAAATCCACCTTTCATCACAAGTGACAATCCGATCCAGAATTTTGTCCTTACATTGATATTCAAGCAGATTAGTGCAGGTCCGAACATGTCTGTCCTTATCTGCTAGAGTCAACTCATGCGGCATTCAGCAACTGAACTTGCACATCAAGTTTATGTGATTCATAGCAAGACTAATGGACATGGCACTAACGTCTAACTCCTTAGCTCTGGAGTAGGTGCAGCCTGAGCTTCTTCCACAAGTTCTTGCAGGTGGACTTCATCAACATCAGAAAGTTGATGAATTCAGAGTGCTCTGCTTCTTGAATGTCAAGAGTCCTTGTTTTTTAACTTCAGTACCAAACCTTTACAGTGTCATACATACAGTTACATACAGTTTAACCTTCAGTAACAAACCTTTACAGGGTCATATGATACAAAATTAGTACCTAAAGTTGTACACATAATTTGGTGACATTCTGTAGCTGACTTTTTGCAAAAAGAACTGGAAGTTAATGATGGTTCTAATCTGATAGCTTGATACTTCCACTTCCGACACCTTGTACTTAATGATAACAATAGGGTTTCACAAATTTCACATCATAGTGTTCAAAAGCAAGGCTCTTTTTTTTTTTTTTAATGGCAAAAATCATTTGAAAAAATATGATTAAGCATACCAACACGAACTGTTTGCGCATACGATATTTGCAGTGATAGGAAACTTTCGTTAAAATCTGATATTATGCATTATAATCAGAGATGCATGTTATAAAAGTTATAATGTTTTCATAATAATTAGAAAAACAATATCATTGCTATTAAGCAATTAAATTAGCAATTTATTAAAACAGTCCCTTTCCATGAAAAACGTTACATTATTTTACTTCAAATCTGCAGTTAAACATTAGCCTGAACATTTTCTATAAAATGTAGTATTTGTTGACAATTGGTGTTTTAAACTTCTTACTTAAGAAGCAGAAGAACCTTGGTATATAAAATAAAATTTGAAAACAATTTCAAATTTAAAAAAAAAATAAAAATTGAGTCATTTTGCTAAATTTTGCATATTTTTCAGTATTAAAGTAAAATATAAAAATGCACAATTAATAAAAAATTAGTTTCAAAGCCCTACTGAAGTTTTAATAGAACCAATTTGTTCTTATTCTCAATCTCTGCAGTGTTAATATGCCAAGCACAGTGTGCAGGAACAGAAGTAAATAAATAAATAACCTGGAAAACAATTTATAAGCAGACAATGCATAACATTAAATTAATCGAAAACATAATTTAAGCAACATTAAAATTTTTAAATAATATTCTAGAAGTCTCTTATTCTATATTTTGAAGATAATAAAACTGTTTTTAGATGTAGGAATGAACAGTGTTTGCACACAATGCTTTAAATGGAAAAAGGACGTTTAAGAATCCTCAACGAAAAGAAGTTAAGGACCTATCAGCAAACAGAACTGAATAAAGCAAAGCAATTACATTCCCTATTGCAGTATTACTTTAATAATAAAACACATATTTGTACTATATACCATTATTATTACTTACAATCTATTATTTAAAGTTTAATTAAAATGAATTCAGAATAAAACCAACTCGTCAAAAGTTTTCAAGTAAACAAATAACGAACATAATTTCTTGAATTGCTTATACTTTACACTTATAATACACTGACAGAAGAAATTAAAGGAACTACACAAAAATACTTAAACTCTATTAAAGTCCAATGAAAGGTTGTTGTTGGTAGCTCAAGGTCAATGTTATCATATAGATCATGAGGATACATTTTCAGTACACTGAAATATGTAACATTTTTATGTCCACTCTTTTGGCATACACAGAAAGAAATGCAAGGGGTTCCTTTAAATTCTAATTTCAAAGAATGTACAAGTAGTTGGATAAAATTTTCATACACAGAAAGTGAAATGCATCACCAAGAGACATCTCATTGTTTGTTACATGCAGTATGCGATTGGGAAAATGGAAACAGAACAGACACTGACCTATCAACCAGCCAAGTAGCATGATTTAGTGTCAATTATGGATGACTGCATCCTTTAAAATTTCACAGTAACAACTGAAGACTGTTACCAAAATGGTTAGAGTAGCTTTAAAGGTGCCCCTTGGATTATCGCCAAGTTATTTTTTCATTTATTGCCAAGTTGTTTCATTTATGGCAACCTGGGTAGTTGAATGCTATGGAAACTCTATTATGAAGTAATTTGTTGTGTGATTGCAGTGAACTTGAATGATGGAAAAGATATGGAAGGTTTATTTGTGT